AGGTGACAGGCAGTATGTACAAGGAAATTACATCTGGGTGAGAGGATTGTGCCTTGAAACTAACAATGAGGAAAGAACAAAATAGATAAGAAAAATGTTGATGGACAATGACTGGACTTCTGTGCCTCTACCTTGTTTCACTTTGAGATGACTGTTGATGTTGTAGAACTGATAAAATATTTTAACCTGTGAATGTTTAAGTTTTCTCTCTTATTTACTATGAAAGGGGGACTGTGGAGTACCGCTGACTTGTCGAAGAGGTGGTGGAATGTGGACTCTTGCTGGGATAACTTCCTGGATGGCTGGTTGTGCTGGAGATCCTTCCCCTCTCAGAAATAACCACAGAAGAGCATCACCCGATATTTTCTCCAAGGTGTCTGAGTTCATGGATTTTATCACTCAGAACATGATCACAGGTGGGTGAATTCTACCTTCATTTCATTCTAAGGCAAAAATGAATCATACATTCAGTAGTGTGAAGTTTGATCGTTTCTGCCAGTTGCCTGGGGTACGAATATAAACTCTCCCTTGAAGAACTCTGTTGGTTAAGGTCTATAGGAATTATAAAACTCTATTGCAAGATGCATTCTGACTTTTTAGAATATGAAACTTTCATTTCATTCTAAGGCAAAAATGAATCATACATTCAGTAGTGTGAAGTTTGATCGTTTCTGCCAGTTGCCTGGGGGTACGAATATAAACTCTCCCTTGAAGAACTCTGTTGGTTGAGGTCTATAGGAATTATAAAACTCTATTGCAAGATGCATTCTGACTTTTTAGAATATGAAAAGATGTGTGTTTTAGAAATCAATTGCATAGTTAAATGACTGCTCCAGCATGCTTAGCAGCCTTGGATAGTGAAAGGGTTTTATAAATTCCAGATGGAGCTAATTAGGTAATGGGAAGGAAGAAAAATAATGTAAAGAAGGAGCAGGGAGTTACACAATTCCTCCCATCCTCTTCTTAGTCAGGGAGGTGATAGCTAGACTCTCAAATGACGAAGAGTTGGCACCCAGATTGCCCTCCTACCTCGCGTGCCCACAGGAGACCTTGCATGTCTCGGAGCCTAGAACAGCGCCTAGTGTATAGTGGATGATCAATTGCTACCTGAATGAGGAAACCAGAAATTAATTTTGGCATTCCCCTCTCACTTAGCATGATTAGACCTCAGAATCCTTTTAAATACAGCAATCACTAACAGTAAGTCAAGGTTGGCATATGATTTGAAACCTACTTTCTATCTCTGAGTTAGAGATTTCGAGGCAGAAAATAATTTGAAAACAGGATGAAGTACAGGCCTTTGAAGTTGCAAAATCTAAACTAGTTCTTATTATATAAGAGATGGGATGAATCTTTTAATATCAATGCAGGTTCTCCCATTTGGAAAAGCAGAGTAATTTCTCTCCTGCCTGCTACTCTGGGATATAATGAGCCTCAAAAGGATGATGGAAACGGAGTGCTCTTTCAATTGAAGTGCTTAGAAAACTGAGCTTTATACTATTTTAGGCAGCTTATTGCTTTTTAAATTGAAGTGCTTAAAAAGTGATTTTAATATTTTAGGCAGCCTGTTTTTATGTCTATATTCAGGATGATGGACTTGAATAGAAAAAGACTAAAGCAAAGAGTTTCTGGTTAAGGAGGGGATGTTTGGTTTAAAAAAAAAAATTATTAGTGTTTGGTTTTGGGAAACTGGACTTAAAGGAGTTGATAACTCCTGCAGTCCTGAACACTTGTTTCTTAGAGGGCAGTAGGGCTATTAACAAGTCTATGGTTGTTGATAAAAAGTTATGAATTTTGGAAAGAAGTTAATTCTGACATATTATATTCTAGATAAGATTGCTTTGCATTCATCTAAATGCAAGGCATGGATGAAATTAGGATTTATGGTTCCTTGGGATTTCTTTTCATGAATAGTAATATGAATTCATGTAGGAAAATAAAGGTAAAAGATTGTGTATTAAATTATGTAAGACCACTTTCAAAATGTCTAGATATGTTTCTAACGGTGTTGGTGAAAGGGCACAGCTGACCTTACTGTGAGTTAGAGAAATGACACTGCAAGCCCCGGGACCGTGACTTAGGATGACCTTGGAGAATGTGGCTCATATATGGTACGGTCAACCCACAATTCATAAGAATTCATAATACATAATTCAACTTCTGGGTGAATATTATGAATTTTAATTAGACTAATAATAGTTTAGAGAGATGAATCTTAGATTTCTTCAATTTATAAACCAGAATTTTATTTTATAACTATTCATTTTATAACTAAGTGAAATGTAAAGGATTGTTTCTAACCATTCCCTGACTATTACTCATCTATTTTGATAAATATTAGCAATTTGCACATAAACAATTTTTTAGCATGCAAAGAATTTACATTGCCTTTTATCTTCTAATATCCTGTAAAATTTTATTATCAGTGGATATGAGCAAAAGCACGGATATTAGATCTTATTTGTCAAACTTGACTCAGCCATTTATTATATTTCTCCATCCTTCCCTACCCCAGCTCATGTATCTTGAAAATAATGGTACCAGAAGATAAAATTCTCCTGATAAAATTTACAAGCTCAGACATAGAAAATCAAGTTGGATGTAATCATGATGATGTATCTTTACAATCAAGCAATGGCATGCTTATTAGTGAGTAGGTTACGTTTATTTTTATTTATCATTTTAGAAAATCTAAAAGACCAAAGATGTGCTGAAGGATATAAGATGAGATTTCTGCACGTGGGGCAATCATTTTATCTTACATTCTATGCCCCAGAAGTAGAGGGGGGTGAGGAGGCGGTAAGCATGGAAACAGTACACTGGTCACTCTCTTCATGGCTTTTTGTACTAAATATCACATTCCTGTCTCAAGTTTAATAACACTTTTGAATGAAACTGTCACAGTTGTCAGAAAACTTGCTTTGGAGGCAATGTTTATTTTTTCACTTTTATCACAAAAGAAGGTGCACATTTGCCAGATTTGCTAAGTACAGATGAGAGAAAGGAAGAAAATGTAAAGCGGTCACAACCTACCACCCAGAGATGACCACTGTGAGCATTTTGACACACATGCAGTTGCACACACACTTTGAACGTTACATTGTTTTATAATTTACTTTTTTCTCATGACACAATAGTTTATTTCAAGTTATGAAGTTTATTTTATTGGATACCTCTTCTAAACTATATAAACATAATTGATAGTTGAAATATTGTATGTTAGGCATGATAGGTCTCCACAGCTGGTAGAGACCTTGATCTCTAGGTCTCCCTCAGGCTGCTTGGTTCTGGAGATAAATGTCTTCACAAACACGTGACAGGATGCTAGAGACAAGGTATTGTGCTGGCGGTTATAATATGAATATTTATTGACTAAATGATTTAATCCTCAGAACAGCTGTTTACCCAGTGATCATTCTTTCCACCAATCATTTGTTAAAAATCAACTATGTGTGAGATATCGTATCATGTACAGGACATTAGGGAGAGAAAACAGACTCTGCCCAAATGAGCTTGTAGTTTGGTCAGGTAACTAAAGGTGTATCACAAAGTAGGAAATGACCTAGAATAAGAAATGTGCTGTGGCGATTGAAAAAGGTAGCTCTTTTTTCCAGGGGGTGTTTAATGGTAGAACTCAACTTTGAGTTAAGCCCTAAGGGATCAGTAGAATTTGGACACGTAAGACTAGGGGTGAGGACATGAGTGGAATAGCAATGTCACAGAGAATGTGGGACGATTAAGGAGACCCTAAGTAGTTTGTGTTCAGAACAGAGAGCTCATGGAAGATCATATTAGAAAAACAAATATTTTGTGTATAAGTTTCCACCACACTTTAATAATGTTATCTCAATTTCTTCTCCTTATAAGGTAAGGTCTGTGGAGCTATGTCACCCTCAGTTCCATTTGTTTCTGGTACAGAAAATAGTGGCAGCAGCTTTGAGCTTACCTTTACTGCTACACAGAACTCAGAAGTAGGGAAGTATCTCAGGTATCTAATTCCCTGCAGTTTTCTTTGATGTGGGGACGAGGAGGAGCAAATGCCTTCGGCTACTCCATTCGGATTTTCCCAACACTTGCATAGGCTCAGTTGAATGTGGCTGTATTGGTAGGAAGAGGAGCAATTCACGCTGCTAATTATACTGACTTGTATCCCAGGAATGCAAAGTGTCATTGGTTCATTCACGCTCCACAGAAACACATTGTAAAGGGAAGCAGCTGAGGAATCTCTCTCCTTCACAGAGAAGTTACGTTAGTTAGGCAGAACTTACTTCATCTAGATGAAGTCGCCATTGTGACTCGTGCAGGGGTCAAGGGAAAACTTCCAATTCAACCCCCTGAAGGTTCTCTGAATAATGAACTAATAAGCAGAGATTAATATGAAGAAAAGGCATAACAAATTCCATTATTTAATGTGCTG